AATGTGAGCCAGTATGGGATTGGCGCAGTGTTGCAATAAGATGATGACGATGGCTTACGGCCGCTCGAATACTACAACAAACGCATGCCCAATGAAAAGGTAGCTACTTCCACCTGCATGCGTGAGCTCTATGCTTTGCGTATAGCTTTGAACCATTGGAAGCATAATTATGGGACGCCACTTCAAGGTGTTCTTTGATCATGAGACTTTGAAGTGGATCAAAGATCAGGCCACCTTGTCCCCTACATTACTTCATTGGTTCCATGAGATCGACATTTTTTACTTCGAACTTAGACACAAAAAGGGTTGTTGTAATCGAGTTGCTGATGCGTTGTCTTGCCATGTAATCGAGTTGCTGATGCGTTGTCTTGCCACCCCGAGTACAAGACTTGCCTTGTGAGTTCCTACAACCTCCGGAAAAAACTGAAAGAGGAGATTGTAAAGCACATTGCCAAGGACCACAAAAAGGGTTGTTTTAATCGAGTGTCATGCATAGTCCAAGGCCAGGGAGTTGGGACGTGAAGTCCTTCCATTCAATACTTATGAAGAGCGGGTTCCGATCACTCACAAGAGTTTTCGGGGTTCCGAATTGCAGAATGTACTTTTGTTTGAAATCATGAATCACCAATTCAGTTGGGGAATGAGATGGCAAAGGAATCAGATTGAGGAATTTAGAGAAAAAGTGGTCAACAATCACCGTCACTTGCGAATAATTGTTCTTACGTACCTTTCCCATTTCGGTAGAGATAGACTCCCCGGGACCATCGGGAATGGGAAGGGGTGTAAGTAGCCCCATGAGCTTTTGTCTGGATGGTTTGATCCGTTGACAGACTTTACACTCAGCCACAAACTTTTCAGCATATCCTTTTATACCAGCCCAATCAGACTGTCTCAATAGGTTTCCGTACGTTTTTGCCATGCCGAAGTGTCCACTCCGGTCGTCAGCCAAGTCCAATAAGTGTGTGCGGAGAGGCTCATGGTTGGGTACACACAAACAGTCGCTATTTCTATAGCGTCGGAAAATCAGTCCTCCATATTCGTGACAATCCGGCTGACTGCTGGGGTCAGCCCGCAACTGCTCAAGGATGGGACTAAGGTACGGGTCCTTGGCAGTGTGCTCTACAATCTCCTCCTTCAGTTTCTTCCGGAGGTTGTAGGAATTCACAAGGCAAGTCATGTACTTGGGGTGGTGAGACAACGACATCCCGAACCCAACGGTTTGGCTGAGGAGATCAACCAGACTGTTCCAACTTCTCCACGCTTTAATCATTCCGGAGCAGGAAACGTGGGATGAACAGTTATATTATGTCAAGGGGTTGTACAACAACTCCATCCATTCGTCCATCGGCATGACGGCAAACAGGCTGCATTACGGTTGGCAGATTCGTAATCCGCTTTCCCTTATCAGCCAGATGGTTTAACACCCGACAGGCCTGGCTTCAGAGCTAAGTACGATCGCTTGCTCAAAGTTGTCATCGCAACAATGACCAAGCGACAGCGCGCAATGATCCATCATGCAAACAAGAAGCGCCAACCTTCAGATATTATAGTGGGAAGTTATGTCTGGGTTAAGATGTCTGAATTCTCAAAAGAAGAGGGAGTGTCACACAAACTTCTCCCTCTCTATTATGGTCCATGGGAAGTTCTGGACGTGATTGGCAAGGTTGGGTTCGGCCCCTCATACACAGTTGTTGTGCCGCCTCATCTACGCACATACCTTGTCTTTCATGCATCAAAACTGTATATCCATATGTGATTGGCAAGGACGGGTTCGGCCCCCCTTACACAGTTGTTGTGCCGCCTCATCTACGCACATACCCTGTCTTTCATGCATCAAAACTGTATATCCATCGTGATGCTAAGTCCTTCGATTACCGTGAAGACATGATTCCCCGGGCGATCAATGGCGGTCATGAGATAGATAGAATCAAACAGCAAAAAGGGAAGGGACGTAACAGACAGTACCAGGTTCACTTTGTGTATCACCCATTGGACGATCTCTACTGGATCTCCAAGAAGGAGCTGCTGTGCAGCACACCTTGCGTTGTTAAAGCCTGTGAGCGACAAATCGCCTCTAATGCTGCACCTTAAATCTCTCCAAAGCTCACTGCGACGGAGTACTCTCGAAATCTCTTTGCTTCGTTTGCTTACGATGAATTTGTCGGGGACTCAGAATGAGTTACTTGCTCGAAGGGACCTCGCTCTTAAGGGGGGGGGGGGGTAGTGTGATGACTGACCAAACACCGACTGAGACACACAGCTGATTTCTGAGTTTTGCTCATGGACTGAATGCCTTGCTGAGTTTCCCGCTTGCTACTGAGTTCTCTAAGTCTGTGTGTGTGTGCACACTTGCTGGTCTGCACGTCTGTTTGAGTTGCTTGTCGGATCGAGTGTGTGTGTTACCCGTCAAGGGCACTTGCTCATTCATTGGGCCCGCAGGGCCGGTACTTGTGGCCGTGACATTGAGGATTGCAGTGGGGAAAACACTCAAGTGGTGGGGAAAGAGGCCCTCAACACTTGAAGCAGCGGGGAAACACTCAAGTAGCAGGTAGGCCGGTACCACACCCTGTAGAGGTAGATGTGCCGGGTACTCGAGGCCGAGCAGAAGAAGACAAAAGTTGGCATTTTCAGAGGCCCAGTAGTCGTAGGCTAGGTCTAGGCGGGTATCACTCCAACCAGTCTGAGCTAGAGCAGCCATAGCTGCTTTGTGTTGTCCTTTGGACATCCGGGCAAGGCCCGAGTAGTCCGCCATAGCCTCGGCCTTGGACAAAGGAAGAGGAAGGGTGGCCATGGCTATGGTGGACCTCAAGTAATACCTGCAGCAGAAGAGGGATTTGGACATTGATTCTGGTTCAGCCATTCAACATTGTATTATTATTTCTTGTGTGAATAAGAGAGGAGAAGATAAGGAGGAGGAGAGTGATTGGCGAAGAAGAAGAGCTTTCTCATTGGTCTATGCTGGTGATTCTTTCTTTCTTCTGCTTCTTCTCCTAACCCTCTCTCTCCTCTCACGTTCATTCATTTCTTTCTGCAATTCGACGCCACTGCACTTCTGCTTCTTCTCCTAACCCTCTCTCTCCTCTCACGTTCATTCATTTCTTTCTGCAATTGGACGCCACTGCACTATCTGATGAATGTGTATTTCGAAATTGGCCAGGATCATAACATAAACCTTAGTAGTGTTGTTCGCTGACACCTAAATACCTCCACGGTCTCCACCTGTTAGTAGCTGAATTCAGACCACTAATCAACAACAATCATTACTCCCTTAGAAAGGAGACGGGGGACAACAGTGCGTCTGTACGAGGTCCAAGCAGAGAAATGAGAGGTCCTGGGGATTCGGCCCAAGGCCTGAGTGGCAGTTCTTAAACCACCAGCACAGCTGGAGAAAAGTAAATGAGCCTCTCCAAAAAGTTAGGGGGCACGGGACAGGGCCCGCCTGATGGTGAGTGGAATTCTTTTTCTTGGATCAGGGCTCGACCTAGTGCCATCCCACCGCATGGGACAATTTTTTTCTCTACTGGCCCTTCGGACGCCCTGATCTTTTTTTTTTTTTTTTTTTTTTTTTTTTTTTTTTCCAAGAAAAAGCAGCCCCTTCTATTCTGGGGGGCATCAGTCCGGTTGCTCATCACCGACAAGCCTGGAAAACAAAATACAGTTTGGTTTAGAAGAGAAGAGGAAAGCCTTGCCCTTGCGGCCCTAGACGCCTCTCAAGGGGGGGATTGCTACAACCAAAACCCACTTCCCATGCCATAGCCTCCCCAGGGATACCTCTGTGCCTCCGGAGGCTCAATCTGATTTTCCACTCGGCAGGCGGTGGAGTAAAAGAAGACGACGACTAAGATGCTGAGAGGCCGAGGACAAGGGGAAAGCAAAATACGAGAGCAGAAGCAGGAGAGGGGACATAGGACAGACATCCACCGTATGAGAGGATGAAAGGTGGGAGCTAGAGATTGCCCCTATTGCTGAGGACATGAACAGGACTCCCTCGATGTATCTAACTTGAATTAAGGGGGCAGTGGGGGGCGAGAGAGGGAGGGCGAGAGAGAGAGAGAGAGAGAGAGAGAGAGAGAGAGAGAGAGAGAAACAGGACTTCCTGGATGTATCTAACTTGAATTAAGGGGGCAGTGGGAGGGAGGGAGAGAGAGAGAGAGAGAGAGAGAGGGACATAAACAGGACTCCCTGGATGTATCTAACTTGAATTAAGGGGGCAGTGGAAGGGCGAGAGAGAGAGAGAGAGAGAGGGCGTCAGCCAACTCTCTCTCTCTCTCTCTCTCTCTCTCTCTCTCTCTCTCTCTCTCTCTCTCTCTCTGTCTCTCTCTCTCTCTGCACCAAACTCGGCGTCAGACACTGGCCAACCCTCTCTCTCTCTCTCTCTCTCTCTCTCTCTCTCTCTCTCTCTCTCTCTC